TCTGCAATATTTGTATAAAATTTGCATTTGTCTACAATTGAATTGAAGTAAAATATTTGTAAATTGTCTAATTAAGTGTATAACACGAAGATATATGTTATTGCATGTGTATATACAATTTTCTCTCGCTTTATACAAAACAGAAACAAAAATTATACACTTCTGTGTATAAAGCAAGAGAGGCGAGAATGGGAGAGTGGCGAACGAGACTTTTGGGAGAGAGGCGCCTGGCAAATTTTGGCTAACGTTTGCTATGAAGCACAATTAAATTAAAACCCTAGCTACTGCATTTATTTTAGATTATTAGTTTGCTATTATATACAATTTTCCCTAGGATAAAAGTTGTTGCATTCCGTTTGGAATTAGAATAGTGCATAATCAAAGCCCAAAGGCCGCAAAATAGACCCATGGTATCTTTTTATATATCAACAAACAGTAAATGCAAGTCACACATTCAATCAATGATTCTTAAATTCGAGTTTAAATTCGATTGTGAAAAAATTGAAAATTATTTTATTTGAGAATACTCATAATTACATTGTTTTAATAAACATAAAAATGAGTATTTTAAAATTTTAAAATAAATTGTGAGTGATAATTTTTTTAATAAAAATATATATCTCATACTAACAAGACTTTTCTCTAGACCAAAATACATATATAAAGTTTACCTACTGGTTTTTTGTTGGTACATAAATATAAAAACTAATGATTTATCAAATGCAATATTCCATTGTACTGACTAGGTTGAAAATTTGAAAACTAAACTATTTCCATTTGCAAACAAGTAGGACAACAAAAGTGTGTACTTAGTCATCCAAATATTGGATTAACCCTGAGCACTTTGAAATTTTCATACATATAATACTCTGCTTTATCATAAGCTAGCATTTAATAATTATTTAGAGAAATAAATAGATCTTATATTTATGCTTTTTCATAAGGTAGCATTTAATAACTTTTTAGAGAAATACATAATTATTAATGGGTTTATTGATATGGAATAAAGAAAAATAAATTTATCGGATGAATTCATCAAATTGATTGAGTGTGTTAGTGAGATTCGAAGGTGCAAGAGTCAAAAGTTTTCAAAAATATTATTGTTATTAAATAACTAGTTATTCATAAGTATTTATAGTTTATAGTTTGTATGCAAAAGTTCAGTATCTTAGTATATAATTTGGGAAAGATATTTGAAATTAATAAAATAATAGCCATTTATTGTAATATGATCACTTGATTCTTATTTTCAAAAATCTTATTTGTAACTAATAAGCTATAAGTAGTTTAATTCAATATTCTAAATTACCAAACAAAGTTCTACTAGTATTGTTTATCTAAAACTTAAAATTTGAATAAAAACTTTACTACATAACTAATAATGACTTTACTACATAACTAATAATATCATCACTTTTTTAGGAAATAATGAACTTTTCTAAATTTTGATTGTAATACATATCGTAGTATTTTTTTTTTATAGTGGTTATAAGAAGACTCGTTGCCGAAAATTAACAATTATTTATCATTTGTGAAATTAAAATAAATACTTGATTATATGGAAATAAGATTTAATACATTCATATTTCATGACTACACAAGAAACTTATAAATTTTTATATTAAAAAAACTTGAAAATGATATTTAACTCCCTAAAATATATATTTCTTTCTAATAATCATAAATAAAGGTTTCATTTTAAAAAAAAGATTTTTAATTAGATTGAGTTGCTCAAATAGGTGAGCAAATTAAGTTAAATTTATCTCTCACTAATTAACATAACCTAATCCTTTGGTTCTTATTTTTTCTTATTCTAGTTTTTCCTTCTTTTTTTTATGATTATTTTATATATTATTTTAAATTCTACTTTTTAAAATCAATCATTTTTATTCTTTATGAAATATACTGTTGCTAATACTTAATAGAATATATTATTATATTTTGACATAAGATAACTAATTATATTATGACATACCAATATTGATGAAAATGAATAGAGAGAAAACTATAGTTTCAATAATCAACAATTTTCATTATAATAGTAATAATAATAAAAACATGGTTTTCTTTAGAGTCCAACAAGACAAGAAAGAAAATTAGTTTTCTTCGTTTCCTATCCGGTATCTGGTACTCACATTGAAGCTTGACTAAATTTAGATTCGCACCGAAAAGTCTAAAGCGCTCTCTAACCTTTGGTTAAGGATGAATGAGTACTACTTACCACTCCAGCTCAACCCCGCGAAAGAAAACTAATTTAATTAGCTACAACCATATAGCTTTGGCATTAATAAGCATTTGTTTAAGAGAACCATTAACATGAAGAGAAATAACATCTTTTGTTGATCCAATAAAGTTTCCACCAATAAAAATAGCAGGAACACATGGATTACAACCTAAACTTCTCAATGCCAATGCCATTTCATTGCCTCTTGAATCTTGATCAAGTTCATGTATTGCTGGACTTGCTCCTAGTTCATAAAATAGTGCTTTGATACTATGACACATACAACATGAACTCTTTGTGAATATTACTGCTGCCCTCTTTGATGACAAATCTCTAATCTTATCCATATTGAGTTTATATATATATATATATATATATATATGATGAGCTCAACGAGAACAGAAAAAAATCTCGTGTGGAACAAAAGGGAGTAGTATGATGATGTTAGTGTTGTAAGGTTTAGTTATGTTTGAGGTTATTTATAAGGGATTCTTGATACTTACTTTCCTTCGTTCTTTTTTAATTGTCATGTTTCGCTTTTCGAAAGTTAATTTGACTGATTTTTAAAGTTGAGTTATACTATATTAATTCAATATATTAAATTAAAAATTTAGATATCCAAAAATTAAGCACGAAAAGTACTATAATTTTTTTTTGTAAATGTTAATTAAAGTTTTCACTGTTTGACTCTAAAAAAACGTGACAACTAAAAGGATACGAATGGGAGCATATGGATTGCATTGTGTATATAGTAGTTATTAGAAAAGACAAAAGGCCAAAAATACTAAAGTTTGCTAAAAATGAAAAAGAGGAAATTCCTTAAAAGATATTTATTCTTAAATTTAGAGGAATCAAATAAGTATAAAGAACTTAATTATAAAAAAAAATATTTTACTTTATTTTAATAAAAAGTGTTAGCACTTAGATTATGTTCTTGATTTTTTGCCCACTTGTGATTACCGACCATAACGATAATACCTGACCCCTTCAATGTCCGTACAAACTAATTAAAACAATGTTTAGAAGATTTTATTCCTTCAATTATTTACTTGGATAAATTAATTGAGAAACTTTTGGTAATAAACTATCACTAGTGGGATGATTGGTACGCGGGAAGGGATAAATAAAAATATCTCATGAAATTAGTTATACGCTTTCTATATGGAATAGTGATCGTACCATTTTATTACAAATGATAGAATACAATAATTTTGGAATTAGCTAATACTTCAAACTGGTGCACATATAATCAACTATTAAAAATGTGTGCTCTTTTTAATAACTTGAAACTTTTGATTAAATAGTTTCACACTTCAATATGATAACAAAGCAGATAAAGGTTTTGGGATAAACTCTCATTGTCACTCATATGAATAAAAGAATTTTAATGTACTTAATTGATGAAAAAGAATCAAACTCGTAAGGGTGGCTACGTAGAAAAATAATGTCGAATAAAATATGCTCTATAATTATTTAATGCATGCATACGAGAATATATAAAAAAACTTATTTGTGAAGATTTTTGAGCAGTGTCAGCTGATAACTACTAAACAAGTTCATTCATTAGATTCAAATTAAAATAAAATTAAAAAGTTGTAATATTCCTCTAAACTAGCAAATTTTACACGTTTGATTATGAAATTCTATGGAATCAAAGTAGCTAATAATTAAAAATATATATTCCTTACGTCTTCCAAGTTGAGATTTTTCATGTTACAAAGCTACAATAAATTATTTGAAGGATCTTATAAATATGTATATATATAGCTGATGTGTAAAAGATGAGAGCTTATCCAATTTGTTTTCATAAATATTCTTTTATTTATTCACTTTTGGACCCATGCAAGTTGTTTGTGTCACGATGTCACACGTTGTTCGATCTAAAAGTTCATTTCTATCGTAATGAATGATTATGGGCGGGGCTTTATTCAATGAAAAGGTCTATGTAATAATCCCGGTTCGATCGAAAAATCATATTATATAGATATTAACGATCTTTTGTAGATCACAAATTCAAATTGCAGATATAACATTGATATATATTCAATTTCCGTGAAAGTAAAGTTAATTGAAGCTATACTATATTATCATCAGACGCTACTTATGTGATTACACTAAATATGTTATTGTGTTATAATACAGAGACAAAAACTTATTATCAACATCTAGTGTATACGCCAGACCACATATATTAACATGGTTATGTAATGAATTATTAATTAAGAAAGAATGTGTAATTATTGAAGAGTCTCGCGTCGAATGAAAAAAATCAGTGGTCAGTCCCTGTAGTATGGTTTAAGCAATTCTCCCTGAGCTAGTTTTTGAGGTTGAGATAGACTCTATGTCGTATATTTTCAGTGTATATATTTGAATATATAAATATGTAATCATTAATTTAGTGTAAATATCGGGTATACAAATACTTTTGTGACATTATTAGTTATCTTAGATGTGAAGGAAAGATTGGGAATCAAAGTAAGAAGGCCAAAAAGAAGAAAACATGAAGAATCTAAGCTAGTAGCTAGGTGGATATATATGCATCTTTGCTTCCCCTTTTATTTGTGGAAAAAGAGATGCTACTTTTTTGCATGCCTAAAAAGATCCTTTAGAGAAAAAACTCTTCAAAAGATTATTAAGCCAACAATATTATTGCATGCAGCATGCAGGAAAATTGACCTAGTATTATGTAATGTAAGATGTATATAGAGTAATTATTGATCTTTATTTAAGTTAATTAAGTTCTCTATGACTAATTTGGTATTAAGTAAATTAGGTACGAATTTATGTTTTTAAATGAGCTAGTTGTTAATTTTTGGAAGGCTCTCTATAGTTTGAAATGATTATATTTTATCGCATTATTTCATAATTTCTAATTAAATTTCAAGTCAGATACATGTGAATCACATTATATACATGTATATTGTGTTATTTACATGTATATGTGACACCTAATACGCAAGCGAGATAGAGGGAGGCGAGTGAGATTTGTCTATGTCTCTCAGTTACATGTGAATAACATTGAATACTCAGTATATACATGTATCGGTGTGATTCGCATGTATCTGGATACTATCTAGATATGTGAGTGAGATGTGCCAGATGGGATGGAGAGAGGCGAGTGGGCTTTGTCTATGTATCTCATATACATGTGAATCCACTTACATCTAATTTTGAGCTTATATATCTCGATATACATGTATCTGCATGTATCTAGACGCACTAAAATCTGATAAAATACGTAAATATTGCAAGTTTTTGTAAGTTACCAATAAACATTCGAGGCCCATGTTGGAGAAATGTCGAGAGCTCGAAACCTGATCCAGTCACAGCCCAATATGCAATAGAGAGGTAACTTTCTCTGTTAGGACACTTCTCTTAATTTTGTTCAATTTTTTTTATGAAAGTTTTAATTTATATTTTATAGATAGCTCAAAGGTAATATATATTTCTTAATTTCTGTTCACTTCATATATATTTAACAGTGTTCACCCTTTCTTTTTTATAAATATAAATAAACTTCGACGCATTTGTTTACCAAACTCGACAATTCATTGTTGGATCTAGGGGTGTTAAACAACAGTTGGGTTGAATTTGAACGGATCAAAATGATTAGATTGAATATTTGGTCTCAAATGGATTGAATCACAGGAACGCTCTATTTCAGCACCTTTTTCATCAATAGACAATGTATATTGTTGTATAGATATAAAAAAATATACGAGACAGAGATACATTGATATACAATATATTGGAACTTGACACTTGTTTTTAAGAAGAAGGTGGTGAAATTTTGGAAGGTTTTTCTAGTTAAATGGCGTGTTAAGTGGTGATGTATTCGAAAAGTCCATTAATGTAATTGAAATTCATAAATTTTAAGGAATAGTTATAATATGAAAAAGAATAAAAAAAATAATGTAATTAGCTCTTAACACTATAAGATTTATACAAATTATCGTAAATTTAAAAAGTAGATACCATATGGTCAATACATGTGGGATATATCATGTTCTTTATTATGTTAATGCATGCATCAACTCTAAAAATATTGAATCCAATTAATATGTGATTGGTGACATAAAGTGTGTTTTGCATAGAGAATCCAATTTAAACATGAAGCATTCCCTTTTTTCCAATTGAAATTGTCACCAGAGAAAGAGGATGCATCAATACCCCAATAGTAGATGTGTATTCCTGACATACAGGAGTTGACTTTTACCTCTTCTTAATTTATTTATTCTTCACCTAAATATATCAGGTCGGAATTAGGTCTGATCGCTCTTCTCCTTTTCATCTTATGAATAATCTTTTAACCTATATCCTTATAATACTATTTTGTTCGGAAATTTATGAAAGTAAGTCCTATCGTAAGCTAATAGTGTCTTTTTTATTAATATTTTTGTCTTCTGTGTATCATTTAGATAGCGTGGCATGTCAAATTATATAAAGATATTGAAATAAGTTAAAGTGATTATGTTGAAAGAAATTTAAAAACCTAAAACCTTAAATTTAATCTTGATGTGACATAGCTAAGATCAATTAAATCCTATCTAATTTATGGACATATCAAATGCAAATAAAATTAGAAAGGCTACCATCACCAATCACCATCATGATGAAATTTAAGAATCTAAGTTCAGAATCAAGCTACGTCTCAAGAGAGTAAACCACTTATTTTTTTTCAAAAAAAAGATATTCAAATCACCCAATTAGGAATAATGAGCTTCAAGAAGATTAGTTTGTCATTCCATGAATTCATATTTTAATGAAATTTCTACATGAATTTTGTTGATATTAAAGTTCTTAGTTTGAATTCTATCCAACGTAGAAGGGATTCATCTGAATTCAAAAATATATATAAACAGAAACTAAATAAGAGTGACTAGAAAAGTCTCATAACATTATATTATACATATAATTTATTATTACAATGTTTGAAGAAACCTTAAGGACTCTTGTTTGACAAAACAGAGTTTTCATTGAGCATGTTACATAAAAGATGCTCAATTCCACAAACATTGAGAAAACCAAACTTACTAGGTGTTAATATGCACTTTCTACAAGGTGGAGTGTAGTTTGACCACCATATTGGACATGATTCTAAATTAGTCATGCCAGTAAATTTCGTATACCAAAAGTAAGAAAAAAAAGTAAATATATATACACTATAGCCAAAGAGCTTTAGCCTTCATAAGCAGAGGAACAAGATTTCCCTCTAGATGAAGACTCATAATCTCATTGGCACCGCCAATTAATTCTTGTCCAATGAACACTGCTGGCACGCTAGGCCTTAGGCCTAGCATCATCAGTGCTCGCTCCACTTGTAACCCATTGGGAAGCTCATCCAATTCATATACAGTTAAATTAGCACCAAAACTTGATATAAGTGTCTTTATTGTGTGACACATACAACACTTGCTTTTGCTAAACATAACCACTGGCTTTTCAGCTACCATTTTCTTCACTGACTCCATTTTTAATTAGTGAAAAAAAAAAAGATTAATGTAATATAAGAGGAAAATGATAAGTTGTTGAAGTGATGATGAATTTGAAACCCCCCTTTGAAGCTATTTATATACTAAACTAAAATAGTGACATGGTGAAGATTCAATATGCTTCCTTTATACCCCCACCACCAACACACACCAATAAATTAAAAAGAAAGAATAATTTTAGATAAGGAGTTGAAACTGTTAGGTTCTTGATACTCCCTGTCTTTAAAAAAAAATTAAAAAAAATCCACCATAAAGTATGGAGGTTAATTTGTGAACTTTGTTACATGTTCTTTTCCAATTAAGAATAAGTTATATGGTAAAGAGAGTTAAATGTTCTATCTACTCTAGGCTAGAGCTTACGCTACGACAAATAAAGAATTTTATTGTAATTATTTGGCGATAATAATATAATCTGAATCTATTATAGTCAATTTTATATAGATGTAGCTAAAGGATATAGTCATTCGGAATGCAATGTCATAAGTGTTAGCCGCTTGCTGCTAGCAATAAATATTATTGATGAAATGAGATATCTATAAACGCGCTAAATGTCTCTTTTGTTATTGTGATAATACATCGAGTAAGAGAGCTATAAGATATGGAAGGGTGTTTAATTGAATATCTTTTAACTCGGAAATGTTGAATTAGGTTTTAGGCTTAACTCAAACCTTCAAAAGCTAGCTCAAATAGAAGAGGATTGTCCAAGCCTTATAAAGAGTCTACACATCTCATTAACCATCGATGTGAAACTTTTGTCATTCTTTAATACCCCACCTCACACCCAGTGCTTAGCATCTAGTGCGTGGGCAATTTTGATTTTTGAGGGCCCCAACATCGGGTGAGACAGACCTTGATTTGATACCATGTTGAATTAGGTCTTAGGTCTAATTCACATCCCAAAAGCTAGCTCAAATAGAAAAGTAGGAGTCCACCCATCTTATTAACCACCGGTATGAGACTTTATCATTCTTTAATAGAAAACACACTATACAAGTAGGGGAAATAGTTTTTTTTTTCTTCTTTGTATGTATAAGTTATTTAATCTCCATAACATAAAAACACAACATTTTAATTTATATTTTTGGAATTTCGTTATTAAGATCTTTGGCTTGCTACTAATAAGTAAATAGTCAAAATTGTCATTTTCACATTTATGTTCATTAAAAAAAAAAAATCACCAGTTAAATAACCTCTCCATAAACTTTTAAATTCTTGGTCTAAAAAAATGGGTTTTGCAATCAATAAACTTTTACTTTTTTTTGTAAAAAGAAAAAAATGTATTATAAGGATATTAATGGAATTGATGGTGTTGTGACAAACCCATGTTGGTATACTTAGCAATGAGGAAAAAGATATTTCATTTTATCCACTAATGATATTCTTGGAAATGATTTAAAAAGGTGATTTATTCTTTTTAAGGAAAATAATGTTTATTATTCGTTTAATAAGGTGATTTATCTTTTTTTTTTGTTTTATTTTATTTGATCTCTGTTTAAAAATAGATATTTTATAATATTTATTTAATTTCATAATATTTATTTAATTTAACAAATCAATAAAATAAGATTAATTTTTTTTATAGATATATCAGATTAACAGAATACGATTACATGACAAGTAATATGAAAATGATGGAGCATTTTGCCCAACACATCTTGCACTAAATGATGGTCTATGAGATATTCTCCACTAATTCACAATCATAGGAGAATTAAGATATTAATAATTTACAATGAATAGTATTATATTGTTCCTAATTATCATCATGTGATTCTATTGATCGTTTTATAAGATGCTTAATTACTTTAGGCATTTTATTAGGTCGGTTATTTCATTGACAGAAAAAGATGTCCATTCTTTTCATATTAATTACTCAATTAATTATTATATTTAATTATTGATAGTTGCAAGATCAAGATTCTTTAATTAACTCATTTTCAAAGATTTTGACTTTATGAGATAGAGACTTGAGATTTATTTTTTGGAGCTCATTGTTTTGCATTTTAGCATATGAAAAAAGGTAATTAAAATTGTAAGATGTTACGTTTGATAATTAAGGATATATTTAATTTTGGAGGAAAGTTAGTTTTAAAATACTCCTTATTGATTTGTATAATTATTATAAATTATAAAATATTGTTATGTTTGATAAATTGTTAAAAGTATTTGTAAGAGCGATATTTAATGGTGTGTTCGGCAGTGAATTTTTAACTTATTTTCTTGTGTCGGGTGTAAATGTAAAAACTATAATATATTTTTATTGTATAACACGCATGGATATACACAAATATACATGATATGTAGGTGATACACTAATATACACAAAAAAAAATATGCATGAAAATATACGCAATGGCATGTACCCGAAAAAGATCCATATTAGTCATATTTTTCATCAATACAAAATGTATATATATGTCAGCTATACATTAATATACAAAAATAGGTTTATCAGAAACGAATTCTTGTTTGTTACAAGAAACTGGGAAAAGTTTGAAACGTAAACAATAAAATGGTACGATTATGGTGTAAACACTCCATTTAAATCCAAACCTTATAATTCGATTTCGACCTGGAAATTTTATGAGGCATGAAGGATATTTTTTTATTGTATACTAATTTTGTATAACAATCGATTTGAAGATAGTAAGGCACGAGATAGCCCTTGTTAGAGTTTTTCTAATACAAAATCAATGACATGGAGTTTGACTGTTTCTAATAATGATCATGACTTTTTCAATGCTTAATTATGATATTTAATAAAAATTGTAGATACTAATTGAAAGTGAATAATGCCACAAATCACGATCATATACATTTAGAAATGGAAAAAAGGATAAATATATCTTAAAACTATTGTAATGGTAATATACAAATATTTTTTGTTATATTTTTGGGATATTGGTGTCCCTGTCGTTCAAAGACTAGAGCATATATATCTTTTATACTAACAGATATACACGTATCATAATTTTATCCATCGATTCGACATTTATTAATTATTGGATCGATGAATAAGATTGTATCATGTGTCCCTATTTAATCTTCCGTTAGAGAAAAAAGGACATGTATACTCTATTTTTTGAATGACAGTAGCACAATGTCTAAAAGTATGACAAGAATATTTATATATCATTTAAAATAATTCGGGATATATTTATCATTTTCCCCCTCTATAGATAAGCAAATCAATGGACGCTTTTTTATGAGTGAAGACCACAAATATAAAGAAAATTCACTATTTTGGAAAATAAAACTAGAGCATATATACCTTTTATACTAACAGACATACACGTATCATAATTTTATCCATCGATTCGACATTATTAATTATTGGATCGATGAAAAAGATTTTACCATGTGTCCCTATTTAATCTTCCGTTAGAGAAAAAGGACATATATACTCTATTTTTTTAATAACAGTAACACAATGTCTGAAAATATGACAAAAATATTTATATACCATTTAAAATAATTCGAAATATATTTATCATTTTTCCGATAAGCAAATCAATGGGCGCGTTTTTATGAGTGAAGACCACAAACATAAAGAAACTTCACTATTTTGGAAAATGTGCGGCTTGAAAATGAAGTTTATTCTCTTAACACACACAAATCAAATAACTTATGGAAAAATATTAAGTAATTTGTTTAATTGTTCCAAATGTACCCAAAAAAATAAGGGGTGATGAATTTAAAAGTTCGATATTGTAAGGTTAATATATGTAATTTGGAGCAGATTATTCATTAGATGTATGAACCTTAAAAATATCCTGAAAATTTACAACAATAATAACAACAAATATTAAAATATTCATTGTAATTTGATAAATGAAATTCGGCACATATAATGTACATGCAAATCTTATATATCTCTGCCTTGAAAATAGAAGGTTGATTTCGATAGATTCTCAATTCAAAATATTTTTCATACCTTTGTAAATAAATATTTTAAAAAAGAATAATATCTACTCAACTCTTATCTTTATCTTAAAAGATTAAAAATCATGTCCGATAAATCTTAATTGAAAATACTCTAAAAAGATAATTTAGAGAAAACCTAGATTTTGATTGATGTCATAAAGTGTGTTGAGGATATTTAAACATGAAATTATTCCTCTTTTTCAATTGAAATTATCATCAAAGAATTTATTTTGTTTCATTTTTTAAAAAAAGGGTTGCATCAATACTTGAAGATACGATAACTGACATACAGCTCTACATGCATCTACCTAAAAATAAGTTGACTTTTAGTATGTATTCAATTACTCTATAAGATGCCAATTCCTGACATATTATGAGCTCTCTAGAAGAATTTAAGAAAAGTTGACTTTTATCATTTACTATAATTTTTATATCGACGAAAATTGTAGTGAAGCGATAAATGTATATTTATTTTTAATAAAATATTTTAGATTTGAGTGCTCCTAAATATAAAGTCATTTTTGTTAGAGAGCGTTTTATCCTTAATATGAAACTTTCGAACTCGATCGATTCAAATTTAGTCAGGCTTCAAAAGTACGAGACACTGTGTAGAAAATTTAAAAACAGTATCACTATTAGGGGTGTACAAAGAAAGTAATAAATCACGTCAACTCTATAATTCTTTATATCTAAGACTCGAATCTAAAATCTCTAATTAAGAGTGAAACATTTTGATCGATGAAGGTTGAGTTCACCCCATCTAATTGTACAAGGCTAACACTTGTTATTGATGTATGTAAAGTAGTATTGATTGACATGAAAGTGCATGAATAAAAGGTTACAAATTAAAGATGAAACATTCCTAAGTTCCATCTTCTTTTATTCATTGGTGGTCACATAAAATTTGAAAGTTATCATCAAAGACAAAAAGATATGATGCATCAATACCCCATGAGATGCCAATTGTTGACACAGCTCTTTTAAGGCTAACAAAAATAAAAGATTTGATCATTCTCTACTTTTTTATTTTTTGTTTTTATTTTCTTCCTTAATTATCAACACACCAACCATCATTTCACCTCTTAATTATCGTTATCATCGATCACCATAATTAATTGTTATCACTACTAGTATCGATATTTATATTCATCATTGTCAACTAGCATTTTAACAATAATTATATCATCAACCCTTGCTACGTGCTATTCCATGCTAATTATTGCTATCACTATTATATATCACTATTTTTTATCGTAATTATTATTCGTAACTAAATGTAACCATCAACCACCACCTTTAATATTTATTCTCAGTCATCATTGCCACTAGTTATGTACTTACAACCACCATTATCGACCAAGGCAGTCTAGTTGACATTCACAACCATCTTGGTATTATCAACTATCATATAATTTTTATTTAAAAAATAGAATTATTGTATTAGTATTAGATAAATTAATATTATAACTTAATGTATTTAAATGTTTAGAAAATAGATAACTTAATGATTTTGTATCAATATCTTAATATAATATTTTAATTTTTAAATATGCATTTAGATTTACAACGTCTAAAATTATGCATAAATCTCACATAGAAAATTATAAAAATGTATAGGTTTTTCGAGAACCCACTAGAATTCATGTTATGATGATCAACTACAAAATCCATTCATCTTGTGAGGAGAGAAAACTTACAAATGGTGTCAATAGTTGTGAAATGAACATATTAATTAGGAGAAATAAGTTTAAGAATTAGGATATACTGAACAAGGTTGGAATAGCATTCATGGTGGACAAGTTTGAGTGATGCGGATTGTGGTGATCTGAACATGTTAAAAGAAGATGTGCAGATGCCCCGGTGAGGAAGTGTAATATGTTGGATATAAGAGGTACAATAAGGTGTAGAGGTAAATCAAGAAAGTATTCGGGAGATTTGATTAGTATGGATGTGACGCAGCTTCAGTTATCAAGGACGCGATCTCAGACAAGCAGTTATAAATGTCACAAAATATAAAAGAAGGTTAGTAGGCAATTGAGTTTGTCTTGCTTTTCGACTGAATTAAACCTTGATGGTAATATGCAACATTGTATCGCGTATTGTCTTGCTTTTAATATTTCTTATCATTTGGTATTTTTTTGTGCTTCGGTTACTCCACTATTTTAATGTACTGTTGCTATTCCTCTTTTGAATGTTTTGTACTGCTATCCTTATTGGTCGTCATGTTTTCTTTACTATCACTTTTCTTTTTCATAATTACTTTTATTTGGTGCACTTTGATTGAGGTATTCCGAAAACAATCTATCTTCTTTCATAAAAGGTAAAGATATATTTTCTGTATATATATTAGTTGTTGAATTTTCTAGGCCAAGTTTACTGAAATTTATGCCATTTTGATGCCCGTCAATCATCATCATTTATCACTATATATCACTAGTCATTTATCTTCCAACGAGACTAGCAAAGAAATAGAGGGATAGATAAAAAGACCTATATATGGAGTTAGTTGACCTTGAAAAGACTTGCGATATAGTCCCAAGAGAAATCCTATGGAGATGCTTGTGGATTGAAGATGCTTGGAGGCTAGAGATATATATGTAGCTTAATTGCATTAGAGCGGTGAAGGATATGTATAATAAATCTAAGATCAGATAAGAATATTGGGAGAAGACTCGAAATACTTTCCTATCGAGATGGGATTGCACTATGGACCAATATTTAACTTGTTTCTATTTTCCTTAATGATGAATTAATTGGCGTGACATATTTAAAGTGAGGTATCATATAGTATATGTTATTGTAGATGACATAGTACGGATAGATGAGACTCGTAATAAAGTCAAAACTAGGTTGGAGATATGAAGATAACTCTAGTCTAAGACTAAGCAAGACCAAAAGAAAATATTTGAGTGTGAATTCAGTGATGCAATGCATGAGGTAGACGTGGAGGTGAGCATGATCCACGTGTTATCCCCAAGAGAGAAAATTTAAAGTGTCTTGATTTCTTTATCCAAGAAAATGGAGAGATCCATGACGTGTCACGTATCATATTGATATGACGTGGATTATGAAATGGAGGCTAGCCTTTGAAGTCTTGCATGGTAAATAGCACCAAAACTTAAAGGTAAATTTTATACAATGTGGTGGTTAGACCAAGTTTATTGTATAGGTCAGTGTGTTAGCCAATCAAAAAAAAATTCATTTCAAAAAGTTGTGAAAATGAATATTTCCTCCGTCCACTTTTATTTGTCATGTTGGACTTTTTCCAAAGTCAATTTAACTAACTTTAAAAGTTAAATTAGATTACATTAATTCAATATTTAAAGAAAAATTTAGATATTCAAAAACTATATGAAAAGTACTACAAAATTACAATTTTTTGCATATCAATATGATGAAAAAGATATCTTAAAATATTAGTTAAAGTTTTTTTTAGTTTGACTCTATAAATAGAAACCATAACAACTAAAAGTGGACGGAGAGAGTATGTTACTATGTATATTTGGACACACTATGAAAAAGTAAGTTTAGGAATGAGAATGTCCGAGATAGGGTAGGAGTAACCTCCATGGTGGACTGGACAGGTTGAGTAATACAAAAGCGAGGTTGAGATGATTTGAGAATGTGAAAAAAAGATATGTAGATATCCAAGTGACTAGGTGTGACAGATTGAATATAGTGGGTACGAAAAGTGGTAGAGGTAGGTCAAAAAAGTATAAGAGAAAGGTAATTAAATAGGACATGATACAACTTCAGCTCACAACATAACTTAAACAAGAGGGTATGAAGGTCGTAAATTTTATTTTATATATTTATATATATTAATTTCAATTTTAATTTTCTAGGCCAAACTTGATGAAGTTTATGCCTCCAACAATTTTACTTTTAAGATATACATTAGCAGCTATTCTATATAAAAATTTTCAACTGCACCTAAAGCTGCAAGACTAGAATCTTAATCATCCTCCACATAAACAAGTACAATCTTTTTCTTTTTGGTTGACTTATCCATGATGGGAATTTTAATTAAACTTTATTCATATGCTAAAAGCAAAAAAAAAAATAAAAAAAAATCAAAGTCTCAATCTCATAATAAGTCATAACCTCTTGATTAGGAAAAGAATCTTCAATCTTTGCAACTATTAATTACTCTTTTTAAAATATTTTTAATTAACTGGAGTTTTGGTCACCACCACTTAATTATTAGTAATATGAAGTTTTTTATAATCAAAAGTATGGACTACTTTTTCTAGACAAAATAACCGACCTAATGAAATGCCTAAGTTAGCATCTTAAAATGATCAAAAGAATCACATGATGATAAGAACAAATATAATACTGTTAATTAGGGATCGATTTGTCAATAAACGTAGGCGTAATCAGAATTATCATTAAGAAAGTTTAAAATCCGAAGTAATAAATATACGAATTATAATTAATTAGTTTACTCGTGTCATAAGTTATAATAAAATTAATTAGTTATATTAGAACTAGTTATTTTGATGTTAGTATTTATTGATTGTTTGATTTGTTATATTTAAAAATATGCAACATAATTTTTAAGAAAAATTATTTCATAACGAAAAATCACTCCCTCAATTTAACTTTTTAAAAAAGGTTTAAAGACCTAATCATGAGTAGTTTTATCATTTTAATTATTTTATTTTGAATTAATTAATCCTTTTTTATTATTCTACCTTTTGGTAGGAAAAAATAACTTATTTTGGTAATAATAATTAGTACTAATTTTGACAAAACTTTCATTGAATTAGTAATAAAAATGAGGTAAAAGACAAACTATATTTTTAATTTTTTATCTCAAGATAGATTCATTTATTATTTTTTGTGAATTATTGTAATTCTCCTATGATTCTGAAATAGACTTAGTGGAGAATATGTCATAGGCCAACATTTGGTGCAACGTGTTACTATATAATTAATTTTTTGACCCTATTAATTAATTTCCTTTCTTCAAACGAATAACGACCATTATTTGCTTTAAAGGGGTAAACCAATTTTTTTTAATCATTTCCAAAAACAAAAAAAATGAGATGGAATATAAGAATATCATTAGTAGATAAAATTAAACACCTTTTTCCTTGCAACATCGTCAATTCCATTAATATCCTTATCAATACGAGTGAAGATATTTAGCGGTAATTAATTAAGATAATTATTTAATTATTATTAAATACGTATTTTTAGTGATAATTTAGTATTTTTTTATAGCATTTAGTAACATTGGATTTAATAGCACTTAACTAATGTCGATAAAAACTTTAACACTCTTTACTAATATATTTATTTACTTTCGTTAAAAGTTATTTTTGAATTAGTGTATATACATGTTTTTAACCAAAAAAGAGATAATTTATTGATTGTAAAACCCATGTGTTTAATTAGAAGAAGAATTTATATTGGAACTTAATTGGAAAAAAAATATGTAGATATGTAACAAAGTTCACTTACTAGCCTCCATACTTTATGGTGGATTTTTTTTTATATATATATTTTTGGTACACTTTTAAGACAGTATCAAGAACTTCTAATGCTATCTAACAGTATCAACTCCTTATCTAAAAAATTATTCTTTCCTTTAATTTATTTGGGTGGGGGGGTGGGGGGGGTGGGGGTTTAGAGGAAGCATATTGAATCTTCACAAGTCACTATTAGTATATAAATAGCTTCAATAAGAGTTTCAAATTCATCATCAATTCAACAAGTTATCAATTCTCTTATATTACATTAATCTTTTTTTTTCATTAATTAAAAATGGAGTCATTGAAAAAAATGGTAGCTGAAAAGCCAGTGGTTATGTTTAGCAAAAGCAAGTGTTGTATGTGTCACACTATAAAGACACTTATATCAAGTTTTGGTGCTAATTTAACTGTATATGAATTGGATGAACTTCCCAATGGGCTACAAGTGGAGCGAGCTCTGCTGATGCTAGGCCGAAGGCCTAGCGTGCCAGCAGTGTTTATTGGACAAGAATTAATTGGCGGTGCCAATGAGATTATGAGTCTTCATCTAGAGGGAAATCTTGTTCCGCTACTCATGAAAGCTAAAGCTCTTTGGCTATAGTGTATATATATATATATACACTTTTTTTTCTTGCTTTACATATCTAGTATGCGAAATTTACTGGCATGATTAGTTCAGACTCACGCTAGTAAAACTACAATATATCATGTAGAAAGTGCATATTAACACCTTGTAAGTTTGGTTTTTCTTAATGTTTGTGGAATTGAGCATCTTTTATTTAGTATGCTCAATGAAAACTCTGTTTTCTCAAACAAGTGTCTTTTAATGTATCTTTAAGCATTGTAATAATAAATTATATACAATGCCATACTTCAACATGACTTGTCATTCTCTTTTAATTTTTTTTTTTAGATGCTTGAGTATGAAGTTGTGTCTCCTCGAGACGTGAATCCAGAATTTAAAGTTTGTAGATTCGGGATTTATTCAAAAAGTAAAATATGTGATATTTGTATAATGATCCTGCCTTGTGAGTTGAAAGCAAGATAGATTTAAAAAGGGTTAAAAGAACAACTTGGCTCTCTTTTATTTGCCACAAAAAAGAAAATAAATTACATTGACCTCCAGTTCAACAATTCAAAAAACAAGTTACGAGTTAGCTCATCCTATAAAATTAGTTTAAATATACGTCAGCTAACTTGAATATCATGATAATTATATAAAAAGGAAAATATAGAGACAAGGGGTGTGTTGCGTTCCGAACACTAACTCACAAACTCATTCTTTTTGCCACCCAAACCCCAAGGAGTATGATTGTATTTATAGGTGGCACTGAATTCGTGCAGGTTAAAATGAGCTGAGTTAATAAATCGACAGGTTATTGATCCATCCAAAACTTACTTGGACTGAAATGGACTAAAACGTGAATCATAACTCAACCTGTCCAACTTACTTTTATAATTTTCTAGTACCTTTTTAAATGTATATAAATTGTCTTGAAGTTAAAGAGTACAAAAGTCAAAAAATCAAAACTATTGATATTTCACAAATGTAGACAAAAAAGCAAACAAAATGTTTAGTTATTTCCTCAACCACACAGAAAGACAAGGTGATGAGAAAGCCCCTCCCTCTAAGACTACTCAAATCAGACACAAAACAAATTTCCAATTCCATGGCGTCAGCAACAGCTCCACCAGCTCCATTCACCTTTCTTACAAGGAACCAAACCAATAATGAGCACAGAACAGATACCAGATGGTTGACAACAAAACAAAGAAGACGCCGTGTTGGCTTACAAGTTTATGCAAAAGAAGAAGGGGCTACTGGGCGACAACGTGCTCCTCCTGGTGTTGACACAAGAATTCACTGGGAAAACGAAGATGAAGGATGGGTAGGAGAGAGTAAGTCACGGTCCACACAAGAACGAATCAAAACAGACGAAAAGAATCTCTTTGATGAAAAATTCTCAGACCTCCTCAACAGTTCAGCTAATTCTCACTACCAGTTAGTCTTCATTATCTACTTTGCTATCTTCATCTTATCTCTTAATGTGTGGCTCACAGTTCATAATTCTAATGTTTCAAATTCAGGTTCTTGGGAGTATCTGCAACAGCTGATCTAGAGGAAATTAAAGCTGCATATAGGAGGCTATCAAAGGAGTATCATCCAGACACAACTAATCTTCCTATAAGAGCAGCATCAGAGAAATTTATGAAACTAAGAGAAATTTATGATGTCCTGAGTGATGAGGAACAACGACGATTCTATGATTGGACACTAGCTCAGGAGACAGCAAGTCGAGAAGCAGAGAAAATGAAAATGAGGCTGCAAGATCCACGCATGCTGGAAGTAGAAAACTGGGAATCTGTTCCAGACATGGTGGATCGACTTGGTGGAAGGAACATGGAGCTGAGTAATCAGGCAAAAACTGCCCTCACATTTGATATCTTGATTATCATCTTTTCGTTTTGCTGCATTATATATGCAGTAGTCTTCAAGGAACAATATTAACAGGAACAACTATGTGCATTATACAACAACAATATTCTATACTGTCAATACGCAGTTCATACACTGCAATGACAATGGATTGGGAAACAGAACGACTAGAGCTTTAGTCATAAGTATAACTATAGTTTATTTCTATTGAGCTTACAAATTTACACTATTGTCTTTTCATGAGATTATTGACAGCAAATGAAGAAACAATTCTCTCATACATCAATAAAATCTTTCATGATGGGGCTATGTTTCTCAATGTTAGCCTGCCTACGCCAATTACTCACTGCATGCTTAACGGTGTCACTGGCTTTCTGTATTTCCTCAGCAGAAAATTTGTGTTCCACAATGCCTAGTGGACCAGGTTGTAGTACCTTAACTACAGTTTCCATATCCAGCTCCAGTTGCCTGTTAAAACAAACACCAAAATAATGCTGAAGACATAGAAATTCATATTCACAATTTGATCTTTGTGTCTCGTTCTGGTCTAAAAGAGAATATTAGGACAAATCCAATTGAAGAGTGCTTTGAAGCGCACGTTCCTATCAATCTGCATTTAGATACCTACTCTTCAATCAATAAATAATAACAAAGAACAACAAAACACCAACGGTCATGCTAATTGCTAAATAGAAACAAGAGTTTATCGTTTCTTGATAACACAACTCTGTAATTCTCAAGAGTTTGATAAGTTCTAAAATTTCACTTACTCTTCAAATATCAAATGAATTAACTAATGTAATCCTACAACAGAAGCTGGCACCTTCTCTCAACCAAAAAGCAAAAAAATACTTCTATGTTATAATAGTATTAAACTGCCATACACATTGGTTTCTGTAAGATATAGAACTCCCAACACTTGGACCTTTTTCCTCATAAATGTGGTTCTGGTCCAAGCTTGTGCCACACCGACTAATTCCACCGGGTACCAGCTACTTCTCACCAGTGCAGGTACCAGATAACTCTGCCCAAGCTCATGAATACAAGTTATGCCTTGGAATGAAAGACAATTCCAAATCCTCTTGGTCTACGAACAAGAAAGCTATAAGTAATGCAAATATGAATCTTCTCATGGAGAGTTTGATCCTAGACACCTAATGCTTTTGTCTCTCTTGGGGATTGAGCTTGAGACTTCATGGTCCTCAACCCACTTCATTGACCACTAGGTCACGTGCTTGGGTACTAACAATTTGAACATTTACAAGGCTATGTATTGGAGAATTAGCTCTAAGATGTTCTATCTTCATTAATTAGTTGCTTAAACATTATAATATACGGAACAATGTGTTAGGGAGACCATGGAAAGGGATCAAAGTCAATATATAAGGATCAAGCTCGTAGCAAGCGTAATATCAATCAATCAAATATGCCTCCATTGCACACGAGTTGGAATCGACATATGAATCCTCTTAATGCATTTGACTACAGTCGGTCTCATTTTAATTCTCAAGTCTCTATGTTTCTTTTTTCTTTTCATTCCTGCATCGAAGTCCTACAAATTGTGCACATGAATTGGGCTGAATATACTTGAGAGAATCTCTGAACAATGCCACCAATACAGCTAAAAATGCAGTACAACCATCAACTACAATTACCGGATCAGCAAATAAAGTACAATATGACCAAAATATCACGGAGAGAAAATACTTGCATATAGCTTCAAAATGTGATTATTCCTTTTTTCCAATCTCACCAGAAGACGAACATACCGTTCATATAGAAATAAAGCCAAAATTACAATATAGAAACTTTGATTGGTTCCAAACTTCGAAGAGAAAATCAAAGACATTCCTTGTAAACAGTGGTCACCGAACTAACAATCGAGAAACAGTCAAGCAAATCTAATTACAGACTCATCAAGAAAAATGATAAAATTACAAAGCCTATATATCAATCTAGTATTAAAATTAGTTTGATTCTACCATCTCTATTCATGTTAATTTCCTGCAAATGCTAAAACATTTCAATATTCAAAGATCCATAGATTTGAAACCGCCCAGAATCAACTATACTTCACTAAACTCATAGATTTCAAAGCATAAACAAAATCAATAATTCAAATATAACAGTGTAATACCAAAATAATTAACATTCCATATCATCTAGGTACAAATTAGCTACGGCCGCCGAATAAGCAATGAGATGTAGAATTTACCTGAAGAGTCTGGAGAAGGGTAACACATTGCGGAGTTTCGACAGTGATACAGTCATCTTCCTTCTGCCTATTCCTATCAATTTCCCCTAAAACTGTGCTAAACTTCAAACAAATTTACTATCTGATTAGGGTTTCAGCTACAGGGAAAAGAGGCCGAGGAGACGGAGGGGGAGTTGTGGGTAATCACTCGGTTTCGGGTCGGAAAGGATCCGACTCTCCTGATTCGTCAACGCCTTATTTTCTTTCTTGTTTATTTTTTCAAAAGAAAAACTAATAAGAATTTTTCATACATTTTAGGGCTAACTACGTTATATCTCGAAAGTTTCATCAATTACAAAAAATTTATATTTTATGTGAGATACATTGCAAATGATAAATGACTTAACGAGAGAATGTATATGATGTATCGAGCGGGGGAAGATGTTTCCGAGATATATTTAGAGGGGAGGATTTTTTTGAGAGATTATATGGGATGTAATCAAAAAATTTAGAAATATAATAGTTGATATCTTAGTTTAGTATTTATGTAATTTTTTTGCTTTTTATTTAATCTCTAGTGTCGCATAATTATTATTTTTAAAATATAATTTTAATTGCCTTATTTATGAAATATCATGATTAATTTTTTGGTAGGAAAATATTATGATTAATTAGTATTTCTATGTAGTTTCGATTTCAACTAGGGAGGTTCATAATTCGATTTAAACTAGTTTTTGGTTAAATTAAATTTAATATAATTCATATTTTTGGTTTGATAGTAATCGATTTCATTTGATTTTTAAAAAATCTATACGATATTTTCCTACTACAAGAAAGGATTTTCTTTTCATTTTTTGTCTGTTTGTCAACTTATGAGTAATTCTTTACTGCCCTTTTACTATGACTTGTGAAAGAAAATTTTGTTTACATGATATTAATCCACATTTTATTTGAGTGCTAATCGTATGCAAATATATGAGAGCTTATACTTTATTTGGTTTTATGAAAAAGATATATTTATTTGTAGAAAAAAAGTCTCGCTAAAAAATATTGCATAACAAATTGAGAAAATTACGCGAATTAGCAAATATATACTAGTTAATTAGCTAACATAGCTATAGTTTGAATTAATTATCACTTTGCAGTCCCTTTTTAGCTATAATTATGTGCATCTCTCTCCTTTATCTCGCCTCTTTCCCCTCGTATACATACACAAATACAACTCATATATATACATATACAATTATATGACAAATACAAAATAATTTGTCTCTCCACTCTCTGCCTCTCTCGCTCGTCTCTCTCCTCGCTCTCTCAGTCTCGCTTGTTAAATAAATACATACAAATACATATGTATACCGGTTACATATATACAATTCATCTCCCACCATTCTTTTTCACACTCACTCGAGTCTCTCCTCCTTCTAAAATGTAGTTATGAATTGTAATTAAAATATTTATTTTTAAAATATATCCATGACAATGTGATTTTTTTTTATTTTTTTTAATAAAAAAAATTTCATGGGACATGTATACTTGAGTTTCAAAATGATGTGGTGATGACATAATTTTTCAGCTTCAAAATTTGACTTTATCGCGATTTGTATTTTTAGGCAACTAACAAATAGCTTTATGACTATATAAATATTGTTAGTTTGTTATGATGTTTTAAATAACTAATTTAGCGATTTTTTCATCATAAAAAAAAAAAAAGAAACTTTAGTGTAATTAGCCCATAAAATACCCCTTAAATGATAGTGCATAATTAATTTCATGACCAAAACATTTCATTTAATTTACAAGAAAAGATAATTAGAACTCAATGCTCTAGAAGAGGGCAGTAATGTCAAATAGGGATAATGAACTTGATTAGAACAAATAAGATGTATTTTGGTGAATGGCCCAAAGGACCATGACACAACATTAATTTTTTTTCATACTTTGTATCAGATATCAGTATTGAAATTTGAATAATTTCATATTCGCATTAAAGGATCTATTTTTTAGAGTGACGCTCCAAAAAGATGATAGGATCAAGATATTTCAACCATCTCATGTTGATAATTACTTGATTTTTTTTTCTCACTCGATGTCTGATATTTGCATTAGAGCCTGACTAATTTATATTCTTATTGCAGGACTCATTCTTTAGGGTATCACTCTCAACAACAAAAAAAAAAGTTATATCTAAAGTCCAAACCAGAAACCTCTAATTAAGACTGAAGCTATCTCAATCATCCTTCCAGAACCGATTATTGACTATTATTATTTGGTTAATGTAATTGGTTAGATCTCCATTTATTTTATTTTTTTTGTTTCTTATTTGAATATGTCTTGTGTGGGGTTGTATGTTTTGTGTACGCCATGATTATAGCCACCAACATTTCATCCTAGAAGCTTGTTGTTCCAATTATACAAAAATAAAAATAAAAATTGTGGACCTAATAATTAAACATTATTTGATAACAATATCCCTTTTGGCTGCTCTTGCATGCTCTTCATTCTTCATCCTTCAACAACCCCTCACAAATTAAACAAAGAACAAACTAGTTTGGTTCAATCATTTTTTTTTTCATTTACAAATAGCTAATACATTTGTGAAATATTAATATTCCCTCCAATCGATATTATCTACCTTTTTATTATTTTTGTATATTTTTAAGAAAGATATAACTCGTACTTCCTCATATTTGTTTCATTTATCTTATTTGCGCTTTATATGCTATTTAAGAGAACATTAGCTAAAATGATCATTTGACTGAATTGCTCGTATTTATTTTACTAAAATTAATATCTCTATATTAATTGAAGTAAGATTTATTATACAAATGGAAAAAAAAAATTAATTCCATCTTTATTTTTTAAAATATAATGATGACAACTAATAAATATGGACGGAAGGGAGTATTTCTTTACGCATACTTTCAAAAATCAAGCGATAAACAATTAATAAGAAATAAAAGAAATATTATTTTATTTCTATTGAACTTCTCATTTGATTAATACTCCACAAAATTATAGTTGAAAAAAAAAGATTGGAAGAGATTATTATTCATGTGTATATGGACATTGTTATAATGTAGTGCATACACTTTAATCTCATAATATTACAAAATAAATTAATATGTTTATGTAATGATTCATAAAAGCTGCTACAATATTATTATAATTATTATTTTATTTATTTCCAATGTAACTTGAGGAATAATATAATCTTGATTTGCTTCCTTGTTTGAAGAAAGCCTACAATGTGGTCCTGGACAACCTTAAAATTCATTTTTATTATTATAGTAAAAAAATTAAAAAAGGATATATACTTTACAATTCCCTAAAACCAAGATTAATAATTTAATTTGCTAATCTGATCATATGATCCCAACCTGTTAATTACAGCCTTTAACAGCACTAACAAATACTCCATTTCTAATCAAGTAGTTATACACTCGTTACATCTTTCTATAAGAACTAAATTTTTATAAAAATATTTTATTACAACGATAGTTTTCGTGGAACAGATTATTTTTCATGTTATATCATATTATATATATTTTTTAAATAGTATTTCAATATAACAATTATATTAAAAAAAAAAAAACAAGATTGTTATAGAAAAAATTGGTATACATAATTAACAGTAATAACAAATATTTTTAATTTTTTAAACTTTGTTACGATAGATAATTGCCATTTTCTCTATATTATCGATCTATATAATTAAGAATATACGGTTATATATATCTATCTTTTAAGTCATGATCTTATTATACGCACGTATTTTTTATTGTTAAGTATAGAATTTTGCCGTTTATTTCATGCGATTATAAGGTGGATATTTCAAAATAAAGTTTAAACTTAACATATATTTCATCCGTCCCATTTTATATGTTATTTTTTTATTTTGTACATGCATTAAGAAATAACGTAATTTTACCCTTCTATCCTTATTTAATTAATTTTTAAACTCAAGTTTTGAATGAATATGAATTAATTTATTTTGATTAATTAATTTAATCAATTAACATGAATCATTTACTTAGCTTTTTCTAAGTTGGTCAAATGTAGGCTAATAACTCACGAGGGTAAAAAAAAATACATTAATTTTATGAAATGACAAATATTTTAGACCAACTATTTATAGAAAGCGATGACATATAAAATTAGACAGAATAGTATTACTTTATTTGATTTTGAAAGTATGACCAATCCCTATATAAATTTATAATTTAAACTGGTGTTTTTTTGCCTAATACATATGAGATGGGATAAATTAATTCAAAAATAATATTTTCAGAATAATAATCTCGAGATAACTTTTTTTCGAGATAATTTTGGTTTCGATGGGGTCATAATATATCATTGCTCCCATAGCATTTTAATTTTGGAGCAAACACACAAATGGGCCATGCCATGATTGATCCCAACAATGCATTTCCACTAAATATTACCCTTTAATCTCAAATAGAATATAATGATGAATTGTGGAACGTACAAATTAAAATATCTAATTTCCTGTATGAACCTGGACCAGGCTATTTAATATAATAATAATTAAACTAAAATTTACAAATTATAAAATTCACATGAAAAATGTTTAATTCAACAAAAATGATTATTTTTTTTTTAAAAAAAATCCCTAATGCAATTATTAACTAAGGAGAATAATTTTTTGCTTCACTATTTTTAAGGCGTGCACGGATCCAATGGCCCAGTAACCAGCTAGGAATAAAAAAAACTTTTTTTTTGTCCAATTGTTTATTTATTCATATCCCAAAAAGGATGATTATTACAAGTGTTTAAAATTCATTATAATATTTATGTTGTAAACTAGCAAATTCCATTAGGAAGATGATATAACATTAGGAGAATTAGTAGCGGAGCGGCGGTTCAAGTATATTAGTGGCCTAAAGTAAAAATTAAACGGGATTTTAAATTTAAATTGTTAATAATTTTTTTAATTGATTTGTTCTAATTTTCAATTGATGATAAAACCATTCTTATTTTAAATTATTTTTCATGAGATATAATACTCCAAATATGTCAAATTTCTTCTAATAATTCCTTCATTTTCATGGAAAGATTACTTTTTTTACAAATAATATTCAATATTTGTTAAAAGATAATAATATGTAACTTATTATTACAGTCAAATACATAAACAGATCCCTAAACTTGTTGATTTTTTCCCCTCAAGTACCTCAACTATACTATTTTCCTATTGAACCATCCATAATTTGTTCTATTTAAACGCCGTTGATTGA